ATGCAGCCGCCGCCACGCCATGTACAGCGGTGGCATGTGGGGGGGCTGCACGCGTCAGTGGGGGGTGCGCGTGCGTGTGTGAGCGCGCGCGCGCCGCCATCCCCCCCCCCCCCTTGGCCCAGCCGAGACCTGGGCTATGGGAGACCGGCCCAGGTCTCCAAAAGGTTGCCGGTCCCTGGCTTAGTTGATAGTACGGATGTATTTATTGGTGAGGGAAGAGAGGAAGGCATCTTTGTGATTCAGAAATGAGTAAGAATAGGTTAAGCTATTCTTGATTAACTTTTCTGCTTGAATGACTTGGCTCTTTTATTTCTGAAAATGCTATTAATATTCAATATGATGATTAGAAATATGGTAAAAATAATACTGGGTCAACTTAGTACTTTTCTGGGAACATACCAGTGGTGTCATTAGGAGAGTGCAGGGCGTGTGGACCGCACCAGGTGACACCACAGAGAGGGGATGTACACCCAGTGGGGTTAGTCCCTTTCTCACTTGTCTGGAAGCTGTTCAAGACTCCAGTTAGGTCACTGGAGGCCACCTATCCTAGCAGTGGGGGCTGCTGGGGGGCAGTGTCTTTTGTTTGAGGTCCAGCGTGGCTGCTCTTCTCTGCTGCTGCACCAGACCCCAAATGGCTGCCAGAGGCTGAAGCACCCTTCACAGCAGCAGTCTTGCTGGGGGGCAGGTTAGCAAGGCAATGGGAGGGAGGTTGGTTGGTGGGGCAATCTGCTCCTCACTGCCTCTTCGTTGCACTCCCTACACCATGTGACACCAACCACAGGGACCCTACTGATTCATACTGCACTCACCCAGCTGCAAGAGTACTGTATGCTATTCTTACATCATGGATGAACACACAGCTGTGCGGTGGGTGGGTGAAGATATCCCTGTTTTCCTATTTATCTCAGTCCTTCTCCTTTTTATGTTAATGATGTTTCCTCTTGCTCTGTAAAGGGACAGTACAAATAACTCAGTGCAACAAAGACAAAGCATCACAAAATAGTGTAATGCCACTACTGTAGAAGATAGGTACTAGCATTTAATTTCAAACTGCCTTGAGTCCCAACTTTGGATAAAAGTTAGGGTATAAATAGAGATAACAAGAACTTTCTAAAACTCTAGCTTAATGCTCCTTGTTGCAGTGGCCTTGGTGTTAGAAAAAGACCATTTCCTTACAAGTTATGTGCTAGATATGGCTTTGTGTTGAGGTAGGTGTAAGGGGAACTGGATGCATTTAGCAGCTGAATGACCTAGTACATTTTCTGCATGGGGAGAAATCAACTAGAATTAATAAAATATCAATCACAAATTGAAAATTTTCAGTGAGCTTAATGGTACCTATTCTTTTTTTTTTTTTTTTTGCAAGCCAATAAATAAAGTAAACAGAAATAATGTATTAATGGGTGAAGATATCCCTGTTTTCCTATTTATCTCAGTCCTTCTCCTTTTTAGTTATACCCTAACTTTTATCCAAAGTTGGGATTCAAGGCAGTTTGAAATTAACCAGGTACTCGGTTAATGAACAGGTGAGGGAAAGTGGGCGGAGTGGCCTTGGTTCACAGAAACACCTTAACCTTGACCAGAAAACCTGTCAGGAAAACAGCCCACATTGAGTGTATGTACCTTAGCCTGAAA